TTGAAAACCACTTGGTTAGTTCGGACGCCAAAAACCAACGCCGAAAACCGAATGCCGAACGCCGGTTTCTAAAACCCGAACGCCGGATGGCTTGGTTTTTGGTTTGGGCGAACACCAAGTGTTTTTAATGGTTTAAACATGTTTGAAAAACATTTTTATGATGTGAAATGCAATGAAAAGAATTTTAACCTAAAGAGCCAAGGTGTAAAGATTGGGTCGGTCTTGATCACAAGTGTGACCGACTCAACGACACTAAAACTACGGTCTTTTGTTCTTGGTCTTCTTTTGTCCCTTGTTCTCTTTCTTCTCATCTTTGGTTCTCGCCTTGACTTGTCTCGTTCACGGCGGTTTGGCATTATCAAAACCTGTCATAACAACGAACACGGCTTTAGTACGAAAACGTGATAAACCCGTGTTTCAACAAGGTAATGACATTCGAATATTGGCTGCTGTAGTTCTGAACCTCAAGTTCAGAATCACCTAATAGTTGACTGACACTTATTGTCACTCGACTGTCTACGTTTTACTTCAAACCTAGAAACTTCTGAGAGGCCTGATAGTCGAGTGACACAACTTGACAATCGACTATCAGTGTTACTGTTGTCCTCCAACGGATAGAATTTTAAATTTTTGGATAAGGAATCTTTTGATAATCGATTATCAAAACTAGACAATCGACTATCACCCTGCATCTCTGAAAAATTTGTCTTCATCCTGCTGGAAATTCTAGCAACGGGTTTATCCCATTTAGGCCATAAAATGGCACCCAAATCCTCTCATTTTACACACAATTCTTCAACATTTCAATACTCTTTCATTGCATAAGCATTCTTATTTTTTCTTAGCTATTTGATAGCCAATTCTTGAAGAAATTGTCGTGTTCTTGAGCGTTTACTAGTTCACTCATATCTACTCTTTGTGAGAGTTTTTTCCTGAGTGTTTAAGTGTTTTTATACACTTTAAGGGAGGTTGTTCCCTTGTTGTAAACTCGAAGGAAGTCTTTCGTTCCTTCGTGAGAAGTCTCGGAGTGCGGTATCTCCGAGCAAAGGCGTTGAGGCTCGTGTGACTCAAGTTCTCAAGTTGTATCGGTTTGTTGAGCACCTTTAAGCTTAACGGAGTTAGTGTAACTCGAGAGAGTCTCTCGAAAGGCTGGATTCGCCACACGTTGTGGTGAACCAGGATAAAATTTGGTGTGCTCCTTCCTTACGCTCTTTACTTTATCGCTCTCGTTTTTAATTTCCTGCGATTTTATTTTAAACGCTATTCACCCCCCCTCTAGCGTTGGGCCTATTTTCTAACACATGATATCTAATGAAATGGTGCCTAATGTCAATGTGTTTCGTCCTTGAGTGAAGAACGGGGTTCTTCGTCAAGCTTATGACGCTAGTATTGTCACAACGAAGTGGGACGTGACTAATACTAAGGCCATAGTCCACAAGTTGTTGCTTCATCCAAAGGATTTGAGCACAACAACTACCGGCGGCTACATATTCCGCTTTGGTTGTGGATAACGCAACACTGACTTGTTTTTTACTAAACCATGAGACTAAAGAGCTACCAAGTAAGTGGCAAGTCCCACTCGTACTTTTACGGTCCAATTTGCAACCGGCAAAGTCCGAGTCGGAATACCCAACGAGATGACAAGAAGAGCCTTTTGGATACCATAGTCCAACGTTAACCATGCCAACAAGGTATTTCATGATCCGTTTCACTGCCGTTAAGTGCGATTCCTTCGGACATGATTGATACCTTGCGCAAAGGCATACGCTAAACATGATATCCCGGCCTACTAGCGGTAAGATAGGGAAGGGATCCGATCATACCTTGATATTTTTTGACTTCTACTTCCTTACCTTTCTCATCTTTGTCAAGATGGTCGGATGTTCTCATTGGGGTCGCCATGGCTTTAGCGTTGTCCATTTCAAATCGTTTTACGAGCTCCTTGCAATATTTAGTTTGGCAAATGAACGTGCCATCTTTCATTTGCTTGACTTGGAGTCCCAAAAAGAAAGTGAGCTCGCCCATCATTGACATTTCGAATTCACTTGTCATTAGCTTTGAGAATTCCTTGCACAAAGACTCGTTAGTAGCACCAAATATAATATCGTCTACATAAACTTGAACCAAAAGGATGTTATTCCTTTTACTCTTGATAAAAAGTGTAGTGTCAACCTTTCCCCTTTGGAAACCACTGTTCAAAAGAAATTTACTCAAACGTTTGTACCAAGCACGTGGTGCTTGTTTAAGACCGTAGGGTGCTTTCTTGAGTTTGAAGACATGGTCGGGAAACTCAAAGTCTTCAAACCCCGGGGGCTGGTCAACATACACTTCCTCTTGAATAAACCCATTGAGGAAGGAAATCTTAACATCCATTTGATAAAGTTTAAAATCCATAGACGAAGCAAAAGCAAGAAGTAAACGAATAGCTTCTAAATGTGCTACGGGTGCATAAGTTTCTTTGAAATCAATGCCTTCTTCTTGATTGTAGCCTTTAGCTACGAGCCTAGCTTTGTTTCTAGTAATTATTGCATTTTCATCATGTTTGTTACGAAACACCCATTTCGTACCAATAATTTTACGATCATCGGGCCTTGGCACCAATTCCCAAACGTCATTCCTTTTGAATTGGTTTAGCTCCTCTTGCATAGCCAAGGTCCAATGTTCATCGTTTATTGCTTCGGAAATGGTTGTAGGTTCAATTTGAGAAACAAAAGCCATGTGTCCTACGATGTCCCTAAGCCAGTTTCGAGTACTTACCCTGCGGCTGATGCTACCGATTACCTGGTCCCGAAGCTCGGTTTCTTCGTCTTCTTGTTCCTGAGTTTCCTCTGGTTCTTCTTCTTCCTCTTGGTTTTCTTCACCTTGATTAGTTACTTAAGGCGTCTCCCCAGTTTGCGGCTGCGTGTTGGTGTATATTTCCGTGTTTTCTTCATCGTCTTCGACGTGAATTCTTTCAAGTGGATCTGCAAGATCATCACAAATATCCTTTCTCGCCAAGCGAGGGTTATCTTCGGAAAATACAACGTGAGGGGACTCCTCAATAGTCAAGGTACGTTTATTAAAGACTCTATAGGCCTTGCTACATAATGAGTAACCTAGAAAAATTCCTTCATCCGACTTGGCATCAAATTTGCCTAAGTTATCTTTGCCATTGTTATGAATAAAACATTTGCAACCAAAGACTCGAAGATGGGAAAGGTTTGGCTTTCTCCCTTTGTATAGTTCATAAGGCGTTTTCATGAGTATCGGTCGAATGACGGCTCGGTTTAACACGTAGCTCGCGGCACTCACGACATCCGCCCAAAAATACTTAAGGATTTTTGCCTCATTGATCATAGTTCTAGCCATCTCTTCGAGACATCTATTTTTACGTTCCACCACTCCATTTTGTTGTGGTGTACGTGGGGCTGAGAAATTATGATCAATGCCGAGTTCGTCACATAAATCTGAGAATAGATTTTGTTCGAACTCTCCCCCATGGTCGCTTCTAATGGCTACTATGGTTGTTTCTTTTTCATTTTGAACTTTCTTTAGAAAATTTTTGAAAGCGTGAAATGCCTCACTTTTGTGAGTTAAAAACAAGGTCCATGTAAACCTAGAGTAGTCATCAACAATCACAACCGCAAAGTAATTACCACCAAAGCTTTTCGTTCTAGAAGGACCAAAGAGATCCATGTGCAAAAGTTGAAGCGGTCTAGACGTTCGTTCTTAGACTTAAACGAAGCCCGAACTTGCTTCCCCTTTTGACATGCATCACATATGGTGTCTTTTTCAAACTTAAGTTTTGGAATGCCAATTACTAAGTCGTGTGAAACCAATTTGTTCAAAAGGTTCATGTTCATATGAGCTACCCTTCGGTGCCATAACCAAGTGTCTTCCTCTTTACTCATAAGGCACTTAGCAAAGCCGGAAGGAGATTTGTCTAAGTTAACCATATATATCACCACGTAGAATGACCTTATTGTCACTAAGGTATTCTACCGTGCATGATTTTGAATAGAAGGTCACACGGTTTCCATTGTCACATAATTGACTTATGTTCAAGAGATTGTGTTTAAGACCCTTAACTAGCAAGACATTTTCTATAGAGGAGTATTCGGACTTACCTACCGAGCCGATGCCGATAATCTTTCCCTTGCTATTATCTCCAAAGACTACGTTTCCTCCTTTAGCGGGTTTGATTTGTAGGAATTTGGATGCATCTCTGGTCATGTGCTTGGAGCATCCGCTATCAAGGTAGCAAAGTACACTTGACGCCTTCAAGCACACCTACAAAAATGATTTAATAAGATGTAGGTACCCAAGTCTTTTTGGGTCCTTGAGTGCTAGGTGCAAAGTGGTAGTGTGATTCATTTTGTGCCCAATGCCTATGCCTAGTAAAGCAAACAGGGGCTATATGTCCTACCCTATTGCAATAATGGCAAACTACGTTTGGGTTGTGCATCCTCCTAGGTTGGTAATAGTTGCTAGGGGGCCTAACCATATTCATCCTATTTTCGGAAAATATTGGTTTTGGTCTTCTAGGTGACCTAGCATTATTTTGTCTATTTGTAAAATTATTTTTATGCACAAATTCATTTTGATAATTTTTTCTAGGTCGTCTAACATGCACATTTTCATTCCTAGGTTGTTGTCTAGGTTGTCTAGTGTCCCTAGGTTGACTAGATTTTCTATTATCCTGATTTTTAACTTTCTCACGTTGACCCTTACGAGGTTGTCTAGGTGTTTGGTCAACGTTTTTATCCTTAGTTTCGTTTTTATTAAAGCCTAGTCCTTCCTTAGAAAAGTGCATAGTGTCAAGAAGTAGGTTAAGATCTTTGTGTGGAGTATTGAATTTCTTGACCGTACTCTCAAGTTTTACAAACTTTTCTTTTTAAAGCTTTGCAAGATTCACATTCACTTGAAGAGATTTCCGGTTTGTCAGCGCTTCTTTTGCCATAAATTTATTTTCTTGTTTCAACTTTTCATTATCTTTTTCTAGTTTTTAAAAATCATTTTCAAGAGTTGAAAGACGTTTCTTTAATGATTTGTTGCTTTTAGAAGCGCTAACAAATTCATCGTAAAGCTCACGAAGTGCTTCTTGCATCTCTTCAAAAGTGTAAGAGTCGGAAGAAGTGGTACATACCTCTTGTACTTTGTCGGCGTGGTCTTCGTGTGCCATGAGACATATGTTGGCGGCTTCATCCTCTTCTTGATCAGTTGACTCGTCGCCGGAGTCGCCACCCCATGAGATATAGGCTCTTTGCTTTTTGAAGCCGGGTTTGTCCTTGTCGTTTTTGCCTTTTGGAAACCTCGTCTTGATGTGGCCTATCTCGCCACAACCATAGCACTTCAGGGGACCGTCGTGCTTTCTTCCTTTGTGCTCAAATTACTTCTTCTTAAATTTGTGGAATTTCTTGATGACGAGCCCAAACTCGTTCTCATAATCGCTTGGGACTTCTTCCATCGTTTCCTTGGTTGCTTTGAGTACTATTCCTTTCTTCTTTTGTTCATCCAAGGATGGGGTTAGAATAGTGGATTCATAAGTTTTGAGATTACCTCTTAACCCGTCGATGGTGACGTCGGAAACTCTGATGGATTCGTAGATTGCGTCGGCCTTTGATCTCCATTCGGGTGTGAGACTTCGCAGGATTTTCCTCGCGAGATCCTTGTTAGCGTAAGTCTTCTTGAGGGCATGAAGGTCGTTGATGATCTTGGAGAACCGATCGAACATGTCATCGATCTTTTCGCCTTCCTTCATCCTAAACATCTCGTACTCCTGCGTTAGGAAGTCAATTTTGGCTTCCCGAACTTGGTCCGTACCTTCATATGTGACCTCCAGCTTGTCCCACATTTCTTTGGCGGTGGTGCAGCAAGAGATCTTGCGATAATCATCGGGGTTGACCGCGCAGTAAAGCAAGTTGATTGCTTTGGCGTAGTTCTCCACCTTTTTGATGTCTTCGGCATCAAATTCGTCCTCGGTCTTTGGGACGAGTTGTTCACCAACCTTCTTCATTGGCGTTTCTTCGCCGTTCTTGATGACCAACCACAACTGGAAGTTGGTTGAGCGGATATAAATTCTCATTCGCTCTTTCCAATATGTGTAGTTGGTGCCATCAAAGAGCGGTGGCCTAGAAGTTGATTGACCTTCTCCAATTCCTGCATAAAGATTTCTAGAAGAAGAACCCATGATTGCTTTACTCTCAAACGGTTAAGTTTGGATGCGAGTTAGGCTCTGATACCAATTGTTAGAATAATAGACCAACGCTAGAGGGCGGGTGAATAGCGTTTGATTGAGAAATCGTAGGAATTAAAAAAAATAAAAGAGAAGTAAAGAGAAGAGTAAGAGGCACACCGAATTTACCCTGGTTCACCAAAACTTGTGCCTAATCCAGCCTCCTAAGAGACTCTCTCGAGCTACACTACTATCTCGTTAAGCTTAACGGTGCTTAACAAACCCTTACAACTTGAGAATTCGAGTCACACGAACCTCAAAGAATCCTTCGAAGGAAATAGACCTTCCTTCGAATCAAACGAGAGAAATACTTTCTCTCAACGTGTCTTAGAACACAAATACACTCAAGAACGAGACTCTCTTTTAGAGAAGATATTGAGTAACCTAAGTACGCTCAAGAACAACTCAAACTTCACACGAATTGGCTCTAAAAAGCTATAGAAAAAAATGTTGTTGAATGCAATGAAAGTATGAGAATTGTGAAATGAATTGGTGAGAAAAACAGACCCAAACACCTCTTTTTATAGTGCCAAAATAGGCTCCAACGGACCAATACATTAAAGGGGTAATTGGCTTGATTTATGGGGTTGATTAAAATTAGGATCTGCAGGATATTGGCTTCCCAGCGATGTATGGACTTACCCATCGATGGGTACAATCTTCCCATCGCTGGGTGAGAGGTTGACTTCCAAACAAGGAAAGAATCAACCTTAAATGACTTCCAACGGTCATGCCTTCCCAGCGATGGTTGTGCCTTTCCATCGCTGGGTTCCCATCGATGGGGTAAAGTCCCCATCGCTGGGTAAGGTCGTTCTGCCTTGTGTTGTGATTTTGGACCAAGGCTTTAACAGCGATGGGTAGAACTTCCCATCGTTGTTTGGCATGGTTCTGGAACTTGGTTGGGGTAAAGGACCCCTTACCCATCGATGAGTAGTTCTTCCCATCGCTGGGTGGGTGGTTAGTCAAAAACCCATGGTTTTTTTTTTGAACAAAAATGCACATTTTTATCATTCACAAACATTCCAGTCAAAATATTTTACACATCAGGTAACTATTCTCTACCAACATCCAACTTTTTTATAAGTGAGAATTCTAAGATAAAATAAAACATTCTTAAGGTAACCTTCTTTATCTTTATTCTTATTGTGAATAACATCATTCCTCTTTTTCCAGATGGTATAGCATACTGCCGCCCACCCTGCATTAGTCATTAGTTTCCTCCTCTTTGTCTTAATGTTCCCCAGTTCTGTCTCCATGTGCTCGAGGGAAGTGGCTTTGCATTTTATCCCCATCCTCATGAAGATTTCCTCTCTAATCTCCTTTGCAATAGTGCACTCCCAAAACAAATGCTCAAATGTCTCTTCTTTTTCTCCACAATTCCCACATTCTGCTTGGACTTCCAGATATCTCCTTAGCCTGCTTCTAATCTTCAGCCTTTTATGTTTGATGAGCCAAAAAATCATTTGATGTTTCGGGAGTGAAGCTTTGCTCTAAATCCATTTGTACCACTCATTTCTCGGTGAATCCTTCAGCAGCCAATCATATCCCTTGCTTACGGTATACTCTCCTGGAATATTATAGTGCTTAAAGTCTTCTTTCACCTCATTCATCATTCTCCAATAATAAGGGCAATCCTTTTTTGGTGTGTAGGTCCATATGTTACCATCCTTAATGAACTTTGTGTGGACCCACCGGACCCACAAAAGATCTTTTTTGTTAGCTATGTCCCAGATCAGTTTCATAATGCATGCTTTATTCCACATCCCCAAATTCTTTATACCTGCACCCCCTTTGTTCAAAGGTAGACAAGTTTCATTCCAGCTAATTGGGGGAGCTTTGGTGTACTCCACTTTTCCTGTCCATAAGAAATTTCTACAGATTCCGTTTTGATCATGAATGACGGCTTCAGGAATGAAAAAAATTCTAGCCCAAAAGTTATAGATGCCAAACAAAATAGAGTTAATTAACTTAATCCTCCCTGCATAGGACAAGTGTCTCAAGCTTCAAGTTGTAATTCTAGTAGTCATTTTCTCTAGCAAGATTTTGCAATCAATCTTCTTAAGTCTAGCTGTACTTACAGTAACCCCCAAATAAGTAAAAGGTAAGATACCTTTACTCATACTTGTAAGGGCAAGGAGCTCTTGCTGCAACTGTTGATCAGTCCCTCCAAAATATACCTGGGATTTGTTTGGATTCAGCTGGAGCCCTGTAGTTTCATACAGGTGGGCCAGACACTCCATCACACAAGAGATTGAGGCATGATCAGCTTTACTGACCACTATTAGGTCATTAGCAAAGTTGAGGTTAATAAGCTTCATATCTTTACATCTTGGATGGTACTTGAAACTCCTTCTGTCCGCAAGGTAATGTAGGGTTCTTGTCAAGTACTCCATGGCCAGTACGAAGAGGAGAGGAGAGATAGGATCTCCCTGTCTCAGACCTTTACCCTCTCTGAAGAAACCATCCACCTGGCCATTAATTTTGATAGAAAAGGAAGGAGTGGTGATACAAAAGGATATCCATTTAATAAACTTCACCGGAAATTTCATCCCTCTCATAAGCTGCACCATGAACTGCCATGACACAGAGTCATATGCTTTCCTAAGGTCTAGTTTCATCATACATCTCGGAGAGTTCCCTTTTCTGTTATATCCTTTAGCAATCTCTTGACACATGAGCACATTATGCAATAAGTCTCTTCCTTCAACAAACGCTGTTTGGTTTCCTGATACAATCATAGGCAGGACTTCCTTCAATCTACTGGCAATCATTTTGGAGATGACTTTGTAAATTACATTGCAACAAGCAATGGGTCGAAAGTCATTAGGTGTGTTTGGTTCATTGTTTTTGGGAATCAGGGTGATGCAAGTTGCATTTACTTGTTTGAGGGTCTCCCCTTTCTCAAAAAATTCCATGATAGCCTCAGTCACAAGTTCACCTACTGTTCCCCAGCAACTCTTAAAGAACCCACTGGTGTAGCCATCTGGGCCCAGACTTTTGTGGTTCGGGATGCTAGACATCATCTTCTTAACTAAACCTGGATCAAACGGTTTAATCAGGTTAGTCTGTTGTTCAAAGGTAAGTTTATGCCCATTTCTCACAATGTCCTCTTTAATATCCTTGCCCTGGATGTTGTCTCCCAGGAGCCCATTGAAATATTTCACCATTATGTCGCTGACCTCTTTAGTATTGCAGGCTTCTTTACCTTCTCCATCATGTAGCTTAGTAATAAAACTTTGGATTCTTTTCTTCTTTACCCAAGCATGATAAAACTTTGTGTTTTGATCCCCTTCCACCACCCACTTATGTTTAATAAGTTGTTTGTGTAATAAGTAGAGGGCTTTAGCACAAGATCTAAACTCTCTGCCAATTTCCTTTTCTTTGTTATATGTATCCTCAGATGTGTCTCCTTTACAAATGCAACTTTGAACAAATAGGAGTTCCTCTCTCAACGTGTCACATCTTTTGGAGATGTGTTGAAATTCTCTCCTGTGTAACTATTTGAGGGGTTGTTTTAGCATCTTCAACTTTCTGACCAGTTGATACATCTTATTCCCTTTAGTTTCCTTACTCCATATGTTCCTCACAATGCCCTCAAACTGATCATTATGTGCCCACATGTCACAGTACTGGAAAGGTTTAGCAGAATGTTGTTCCCTCAGTTGACTCTAAATCAGAGGACAATGGTCTGAAATACCCTCATGTATGATAACTGTTTTAGTCCCCATCTTGAGAACCCATTCAATGTTGGCCACCATTCTGTCCAATTTTGAGTAAATTCTATCCCCACCTTTTTGTTTGTTGTTCCAAGTGAAATATGGACCTGAGAAAGGCATTTCTTCTAGTCCACATTTTTCAAGGCAGTCCCTAAAGTCAGCAGTTTCCCCATTACTCACTGGATTGCCCCCCTTTCTATCCTCAGAAGTAAGGACGACATTGAAATCTCCAATTACACACCAAGCCTCATTGCTACTTGCATAAGTTTCGATGTCCTTCCACAACGATTTCCTTTCCTCCAGTTCATTGAATCCATAAACAAATGAGGTAAAGAATTCCAACTTCTGTTCATGCCACTGAATGTGACAGTGCACCATCTGAGCATAGCTGTAAAGAACCTTCAAGGCAACTCTCTTTGGATCCCAGTGGATCCAAATCATCCCCATTTGATGCATCTCATTGTTAATAAAGGACTCCCAATCCCTCCTCAGGTTCTCTTTCACACTACTAATATTGTCTTTCTTCACCTTGGTTTCCAAGATACCAAGGACACTAAGATTATATTTATGGATTAAGTTTAACACCTCTTTTTGCTTTAGGGGGGTGTTAAGTCCCCTAATATTCCAAGTACCAATCATTTTAGAAAAGGCCGGTGCCCCTCATAAGGGCCTTCCAGGAGCTCTTTATGGACCGGTGTTATTTGCTATTAGCTTGTGATACTCTCTTTTTCTATCCTTATTTAATTTAGTTTTAATGATGTGTGTTTGGTGCTTTATTTGCGTTGTATCTGTGTTTTCCTTGCTTTATGAATCTACTAGGTGATCCGTTTTTATGTGCAGTGACAATTGCAGTTTTTCGGGTAGTAAACCTTCCGAGTAAAGGGTTAGTTTTCTCTCCGAGTGTCGTGTCTCTCGAGGAGTGGACGAAGGGAATCAGTTTAATTACTCTAACTAGGCGAAGGTTAGGATTGGTTTATGAAAGTCTTCTCGAAACGATTATAAAAAGAGCAGAGTAAAAATAATATATTAAGTTTACACAGTATAAGTGTAGATCTGGACCTAGGGTCAGGACATCATTTGGTTCTATTCTATCATATTAAATTAACAATTGGAATAATAATATTTCTATTACTACTCATCCATTTCTAGATTTGTACTTAATCCGTTGTACTTGAATATCATAGCCTTTTGGCTTACAATATTTCCTCAATAAATAGTCAATTAAATCTTCCGGTATTAATTAACTAATTAAGGCAAGAACAATTAACTAACCATTCCAATATTAATTTAACATCAAATAAACAACCAAACTAGTCCGGACCCATAGATCAGGACCCTAACTCATACTACGCAAACATAAATTAAAACATCATTTTATTAAATAAAGAAAACTTACAACTTCCATAAAAGCGGAACAGAACAGATTGGGAGTAGAATTCCTCCGAAGATTACTCTAAAATTACTATAATAATAAACTAGTATTTGGAATTGTAATAATAAGCTCAAATCCCGAGAGAGGGGATGAAAGTGATGTGTTGAATGGGGAGAATCGCGCTGATAAGTCCATTTCGTTCTTATCATTTACATCATATTCTAAACGTTATTGCACGTAAATAGTATTTAATCATCTCATAAAATGTGATTTTAATGGATAAAACCCTCATTTTCGTTCTAAGAGTCATAAAATGGGATTCCACATGAAATCATCATAAATCATTCATTTTTGTTCAAGTATTTGAGAAAAAGGGAATAAATCATCAAGGGATCAAGATTCGGACTTGAACGAACTTCCGGGAGGTCAAAAACAGTGTTCGGGGCCAAAACGGAGCGAAACTGGGCCAAAATCACGAAACAGCCGCGAAGCCCAACAGACCAAGGCCTCCAGGCGTCCAACATGGATGCTTGGCCAAGTTGGACGCTTGAAGTTGGACGCCTGGGCTAGATTGCAATCCAAGAAAGACACGTGGCAAAATCTGGTTGGCCGGAGCAGCTCAAGCGTCCCGATCTGGACGCCTAGACTTGGACGCTTTGACTTGGACGCCTCGGCCTG